CGAGGAGGCAGAGTCCTATGTGACGAAGGATGAGAAGGCTGCGTTGGCCGCTGAGCTAACAGCCATGACAGACCCAATGGAACGAAGAGAGAGGGAAGACGAGCAAAAGTTAGCATGGAAGTTGAGAATGAAGAGGGAGAAGAAGAGGAGGAGGGAGGAAGTGAATAAGATGACCGCAGCAGTAGCAAAGGTACAGGAGTGTAGAGCGGAGGTGCTGGCCCAACCAGACGATAAGGCCAAGTGGGACAAAGTACTGGGGTACCTGGAGGTGTTGAGCAAGGCCTGGATGGAGGAGCGCCAGGCAAGCTGGAGCCAGGATGTAGCATTGAGTGCCATGCGGTCAGGGTTTAGAGATTTTGCGCGCGAGATCGTCACCCATATTGGGGGCGAAGTGAAGCACTTGAGAGATGATGTAGGGAAGTTTTGTGAGGGCGCCGTTCAGGGTGCCAAAGCTGTAGCCGTTGTAGAGGGAGAGGCCAGACCCCGTAAGGACCCAGTGAAGCTTAAGTTTCCGGACGCATACGGGGGAAAGAAGGAAGAAAACTTTGACAATTGGGAAGCCAGTGTCAATAGTTCTATTTATTTGCAGCATATCTTGGTCGAGGAACAAGTCCTTGTGGCCTTCCAGGCCCTCAAAGATGAAGCGGCTAGCTTTGCCAGGTCTCTTGCGCGTACAGCCGGTTGTGAAAACAACCTGGTTGCGTATTCCAAAGTCACTCCTCTCTCCCAATTCCTCAAGCTCCTCAAGGAGCGGTTCGCTGACCCAACACGAGGCATTAGAGCCTCTGATAAGCTTCAAACGATTCACTCTCGGCAGTGGAGGAGTGCCAAGGCACTCAAGGGTACTATGGACGACTTGGTAGCCGTCCCGGACCACGGGGTCACCGAGCCCCAGTTGGTCCAGTTGTTTTATCGTGCCATCCCAGAGGCCCTACGCGGGCATTTCTTTGACAAGTCTCAGCAGGCCGGCATCACCTATGACCAATTGAGTAGGGAGGTCGTCCTGTATGAGTCAAAGTCTATGCCAATTACCACTTTCTGGCATAAGGACCTGGAGAAGGGGAAGAAGTGGAAGAACCGTACTATCTCAGGCCAAGTAAAGGCCAAGGATCACATGATCCTGACGTTAGAGGAAGGTGGTACTGATGAGGTCCCGTATGATCAGATTGAGTGGGGCCTTGAAGATGATGGCAGTAGTGTGGGGCAGGGGAGGTCTTACGCTGCTGTCGCGGCTGGAGGGAGGACGCAAGGAGGAGGAGGAGGCCAGGGCCAAAGGGGCCAGGCCATGGGAGGCCGACGACCGGGCGCACAGGGGGTTGGCGGGCAGGGAAACCGCCAAGCGGGAGGTAGGGGTCAAGGTCCCCCGTCAAATCGCCAGGGTAATCGGTCCCCACAGCGAAGAGGTGGAAGGGCACCTCAAGGAGGATGGCACCCAGGCTTGCCGCAGGGCAGGCCCTCGGAAGGTTTGGGCTTGGACCGACAATTATGGCAGGAACGCGTGAACATGGGTCAGTGCGTATTCTGCGGTGACCCGGCCCACGTTATCAAATTTTGTCCAAAGTATAGACAGGCCCGTTGGGCTGTCCAGCAGTCAAAAGGCAGCCGCCAGTAGGGGTCGCAACTGCCCCTACTTCAAGGCCATGTGGAGAAGTGAGCGCGCGCGAACAGGACACTCCCAACCCACATGAGCCTATGGCAGAGGTTGCAGGCCCGTGCCTAGATAGCTGTCCAGAGACCGCCTGTGTAAGCGTCTCTTTAGGCACGTCCCTCACAGGTGTGGCAGAAGAATTAAAGGAGAGGATGCCAGCCTGGGCCAAAATGAAGAAGGAGAGTAAAGGACAGTTGATTTTAGTAGATATAGAGGTGTTTAGGAGTAGGGTAGGGGCCCTTATAGACTCAGGGGCTACCCGAAGTTATATCAGCCGTAGGGCGCTGAAGAAGCTGAGGCTAGGACTAAAGGTCCAGAAGTTAATCGACCCTATAGTCAGTGTTCTCGCAGACAACCGCACAATGCGCGTTGAGGACTATGTAGAGGGAGTCCAGGCTTACTTTCGCCTCGAAAAGGATGGGAAGGTGGAGAAAGTTCTCCATTCCCTGACTCTCCTCGTACAAGATGACCTTCCTTTCAATGTAGTGTTAGGAATGGATTGGGGAGAGGCAGCGGGGGCCACACTCCACCTGAGAGAGCATGAGTGTAGGCTCCCTAGTCCGTCAGGCGAAGTGAAGACTGCTCGCCTGTTCCATGCGTCCGGTGTAGATAACACCTTGGCGCATTGCTGTCTCAGTGCTCCCGCGTTCGCGCGATTAGTAAG